ATTCCTGTGTGCCCTCCAGCTGGGGGAGCAGCTGGCGAGTCTAACCCCCCCCATTGCTTCCCCCCCCCAGACTCTGGACATTAACTGGACGGGGATGACCAACCTCCTGGACATCCCAGGGCTCAGGTGAGTTCCCCCCCCCCCGGCCTAGGGGCCCCACGCCCAGTGAATGCCCCACGCAGCAGGGGGTGGGATTGGAGGGCAGAGAGGCAACTGGGGGGGGGGGCAGCGGGATCCTTAATATTGTCCGTCGATTCCCTGTCCAGTGGGGGTCTGCAACCCCCCCCCTCCCCCCAGGGCTGTGTCCACACTCCCATTCCCCGCAGTCCAGCCGTTCCTTGGTTACCCCCCCCCACAAGTTTATGGGATGGGGGGGGACTGGCCCAGCCGGCTGAGTTCTGCCCATGCCCCCCCCGCAGCTCCCTGTCGGACTCAGTGATCATGGACTCCATCGCGTCTTTCCTGGTGCTGCCCAACCGCCTGCTGGTGCCCCTGGTGCCCAACCTGCACGACGTGGCCCAGCTCCGCTCCCCGCTGCCCAGGGTAAGGCCGGCACTGTGCCCGGGGGGAGGGGTCGGGGCTCCAGGGCCCGGCTGAGTCTCTCCCCCCCCCCCACTCCGCAGGGGATCGTCCGCGTCCACCTGCGGGAGGCCAAGGACCTGCAGTCCAAGGACAAGTACGTGAGGGGGCTGATCGAGGGCAAGTCGGACCCCTACGCCCTCGTCCGCGTGGGCACCCAGCTCTTCACCAGCCGGGTCGTCGACGAGAGCCTGAACCCCACCTGGAACGAGACGTACGAGGTGAGCGGGACTAGAACTCGGGCGCTGAGCCCGACTCACCGGGGAGCCTCTCAGACGGCCCATGGCTAGAGGGGGACGGAGCCCCGGGGGGGTGCATGTGGGTCTGGGGTTGGTGCTCCCCCGCATGCACTGACCCCTCCCACTTCTTCCGCCCCCCTCCCCAGTTTGTGGTGCACGAGGTCCCGGGGCAGGAGCTGGAAGTGGAGCTGTTTGACAAGGATCCAGACCAGGACGACTTCCTGGGCAGGTGAGAGACGCGGGTGAGGGGCACCAGGGCCGGGGGGGGGGAGCCCCGCTCTGGGGATGGGCAGAACCACGAGGGCTGAAGCCACGGGGGAGGCCAGGACCAGATTCAACCCTCCCCCTCGGAGCGGCAGGTTCCGTCCAGGCGCTCACGGCGTCTCCTTCCGCCCCTTCCAGGATGAAGCTGGATTTTGGGGAGGTGCTGCAGGCCCGCGTGCTGGAGGAGGTCAGTGGGGCGGCAGGAGGGAATTGGGGCGGGTTTTGGGGATGGCGCGTGGATCTGGGGGCGGCAGGAGGGAATTGGGGCAGGTTTGGGGACAGCAGGGCTGGGGGGGTGCGTGGATCTGGGGGCGGCAGGAGGGAATTGGGGCGGGTTTGGGGACGGCAGGGCTGGGGGGAGCACTGTGGGTGTGTGTGGATTTGGGGGGTGTCTC